GGGAGTAACAGGCGTAAGTAAGTAAGTAAGTAATATAAAAAGGACAGTGGTATTGTTTCTCGTTGAATTAGTAAATTGTTTTGATCGTAAATTACCCATCAAAACTACGATTTACACTTTAATTGAATCTAATACAGTTAGAGTGATATTCTGTTGAGTTTTTTTTGGCTTTTGTGTATTTATTACGTTCGAAGCATTCTTGGTCTGTGTCAAAGTACTTTAGTTAAGGTTTGAAATCTTGCTAAAGTTTTTCTTGTGGTAACCTTTTATTCGTTGACTGACATTTGTGTTCATACTGTGATCATATTGTGTATTACACTTTGATCAGACTAAAATGGTTGGTAGTACTCACAAATGTGGACAACCAAACTGTTTGTTCCCTGTGGAGGAGGGAATGCAGTGTGACGAATGTCATAAGTGGTTCCACAAAATGTGCACCCGCTTAAGTCCCACCGCATACAAAAGATGCTCGAAGCCTAACTCACATTGGCTTTGCATGTTTTGCTGTGCCAACAAGGCATTACTAATACAGGAGGCTATGAGCCTGTTGGCTTTGGCCTGTAAAAAGAAGGATGGCATATGCGCTGACAACACGGGCACTGACAGTGACGAATGTGTCAGTGTAGTACCTGCTGTTAAGCGACGCCTCAAACAACCGACTCTGACCGACGTAAAAGTGGAATCTTCGTTGACATTAACAGGAGGAATAGTACCACCTGGTACTGACATTGTTAATAATGCACCTTTAATGGGAACCGAAGATCTGGATAAAACAGTCACCGTTCCAAATAGTCCCAGTGTTATGAGGGATGAAAAATGGACTACGGTACGTAGGAAACAAAACGAAAAGAAAGAAGCTGTAAGCAGTACACAGGTAGTTAGTAACCCACTGGTGGACTCAAATTGTGAGCCACAAATTGCACTACCAAGATCTGATGGTAAGAGTGAAACCCATCCTGGCGTGACTGAGAAGAAAAATCTAATAACATCGAATATTATTGTGAGCAAATTGAGGGAGTCAAACGACCCCGATCCGAAAATTAGACACGCGCATGACTTAGAAAAGCTAGGAGAATACATTCGTAGTATTTTACCAGATAACTCCAAAGGAGTTCAGGTCAAAAAATTGGTAAGAATAGGCAAGAGGACCGAGGACAATGTTGAACCCCGTCCATGCAGACTCCTTAAGGTAATCCTAGGATCGGAGAAGCAACGGGATCTCTTGTTAAGTAGCGCTCGTTGTCACGACAATTCTGACATCCGAGTTAGACCTGACATGTCTCTCGAAGATAGAATAAAAAGGAAGAAAGCACTAGCTGAGCTTGAAACCCGTCGGCAAAACGGCGAGGAAAATCTCCGACTAGTGGGTTTTCGGATAGTCAGGTCTTGGAAGCGAATGCTGCCAAGGCCTGTGTGGATAGGCTGTTCTACTTAGGAGTTTTATATGCCAACGCTCGTAGTTTACGAAATAAGTTCTATGAACTAGAAGCACTAGTAGACAGGTTAAAGCCACTCATAGTAGCAGTGACAGAAACTTTGTTAGTCCATGACTTAGAAACTACTCCAGAATTATCCGGATACCATTGCATCAGGAGTGATAGACATAGATGTAGAAAAGGAGGCGGCGTCCTGTTATATATAGCCAATGGCATAAATATCCGCTCATCTACTAGCGAATCCCATGATAGCGGCACTTGTGAAGTCATTAGCTGTAAGTTGGCTATAGGATGTAGTACATTTATGCTAGGTGTCATCTATCGGAGCCCAATCTGCTTAACTGATAACTTTGTTTTAGAGCACATTCATCTTTGGAGTGATAATACCAGGTGCTTGATAATAGGAGACTTTAACGCACCTGATATTAGTTGGACTGATGACCACAGAAGGATCTATAAACTCCTTTGATAGTAGGTTACTGACAACAATAATGGAGCATGCACTAGTGCAGCATGTGTCCCAACCCACACGTTTTGGTGTTAACCAGGGTTCTTCTCTGCTGGATTTGGTAATCACTCATGAGACTGAGGATATTGTCGACTTAAATATTCCACCGTTAGTAAACAGCGATCACGCTGTTTTGTCATTCGCGTTTAGAACTAGGGACATGTTATATGATCAGGTTACACCGCGCCCAAATGTATGGAAAGCTAACATATCAGCCATTCAGGAATGCGCTGCTAATACAGATTGGTTAGTAGATACTAGCATATCAGTTGAAGAAGCATGGTCTGTATTTAAAGGTACGTTTAGTTTAGTTACGTCCTCGTTCATAACATACCTGGTACCGCGAAGACCGAATAACAGTCCACCACGGATAACTATAATAGTCAGGAAGCTCCTTAGAAAAAGGAAGAAGCACTGGAATATGTTCATCTCTACTGGCTTAGAACAATACAGATCCAGTTATTGTAAGATTAGGAATGCCTGTAAAGCGTTAATAAGTAAGACTAGGCGATCATATGAAAAAACAATTGATTAGGGATCCTAGATATAGTCCAAAACGGTTATTCTCGTACATAAAAAGGCGAACTAAGAGAAGCGATGGAATTCCATCACTTTTGATACGAGACAATCCGTTAATCTTAGCAGAGAATGATGCCGAAAAAGCTGAAGCTTTATCGGAATATTTTAGTAAAGTGTTTTCTATCGGTAATGAGGAACGACCAATGATTCATCGTGACCGTGACGGCTCGCTGATGGATCCTGTAGTCATTGAGAAAGATACTGTTTTAAGGCTACTTCAGCATCTCAAACCTGATAAGTCCAGTGGTCCCGATGATATTCATCCTAGGGTTATGAAAGCCATATCAGATGAAATTGCTGAACCATTAGCGATATTATTCGACATGTCTCTGAGACAGTCCAGACTTCCTAGAGACTGGAAAGACGCCATAATAAGTCCGGTGTATAAGGCTGGGAGTAGGGATTTAGTTAGTAACTATAGACCCGTTAGCTTAACTAGTGCAGTTGTGAAAATGATGGAGAAAATCATTCGGATAGCTGTTATAAACTATGTTGAAGGGCAAAATCTTTTCTCCAGGGCACAACATGGTTTTCGTTTTGGAATCCATAACACAGTCGTCGATTGGATAAGTAACTTTCTCCATGACAGGAGACAAAGGGTAAGGGTTAATGGGGCTCTCTCCTCGTGGGTACCTGTAAAAAGTGGGGTTCCCCAAGGCACAATCCTAGGTCCTCTTCTCTTTTTACTTTATGTAACTGAATTGCCAACTGTAGCAAAATCATCCGTTCGACTCTTCGCTGATGACATAAAGATTTGGAGACCCATACATAGTATGTCGGATAGAATAGTATTACAGGACGATCTTAGCTCATTAGTGGCATGGTTAGACAGGTGGTCACTAGAAGTAAATCCTAATAAGAGTGTAGTGATGCAGTTAAATAACTCTGATGAATCGTATGACTATACACTACGTGGATTCGTGCTACCCAAAGCAAGAAACTATAAAGACTTAGGAGTTATATTAAGCAATGATCTCAAAACGACTAGTCACTGTAAGGCTGCTGTTGCAAAAGGCTATAGGGTATTATGGTCAATTCGTAGGTCTTTTCCATATTTAGATGATGAAATGTTTGGATTACTATACCCGATTTATGTGCGACCACATTTAGAATACGGGATTCAAGCAGCGAGTCCTTGTTTCAAATATGAAGCAGATATGCTAGAAAGAGTCCAACGACGAGCTACTAAAATGGTACAAGGTCTAGCTGGCCTATCTTATGAAGACAGACTGAGACACCTTAACTTATTTCCGTTATCTTACCGTAGAGTACGGGGTGATCTAATATTGGTTTATCGTATACTGAACGATGACCTTGGTATTAACATGTCTTATCTTTTGCTTCCGTCTAGAACCGATCATTTGAGAGGACATTCGAAGAAAGTTCAAAAACCGAGATCAAACCGTTTACGTCTGGAGTTCCATTTCTCGCACCGAGTAGTGAATTACTGGAATTCTCTACCGAAACACGTAATATCAGCACCGTCTGTTAATATATTCAAAACGAGATTGGACCTCCACAGTATTACAAACTTCAAGGATTAATATAGGTCGACAGACCTCCTATCCTTATTACTGAAAACTGAATAACGTAATTCGTACGTCTAAATCATCGTTGATCTACACTACTCAATATGGAGTGTATGGGGATTTTCTCTCAAATCTTTTCATTCTTACATAATCAGGTTAACAAGCCAAGGAGGTTGTAGAAACCACCAAAAGCCAATAAAATACTGAGAATTAGATTAGACAATGTACTATAACCTACTTACGAAACAATACAACACGTGAGAACACAATCAGATGTTTACCTCTCAATTTCTTTGAAGATGAGATATTCAGACAACCACACTGAAGTAAGTGGTTGCGACAGGTAACAGTAAACTGAATTTCGTGAACCTTTTTTTTACGTGAACCAGTTCAACGATCGTGTACAGTTACAGTTACTACAAATATTGATGACACGTAAGTCCTCTGGTTATCATATTACGATAATTTATTGGTTTCGATTCCATAACTTTCAGTGGTATAACAAAATATGGTATAAGCTGCTGAGTGATGTACACCAGCGAACCAAACGCGTTTTAAAGTTACCATTGTTTGGATACAACTAAGTTACCAAGAAATATTATGGTATGATTAAGATAATACAAATAATTTGAACATCATTGTCATTAATACCAGTAAATGAAGTAGTATGAATTAAGTATGGACTTACACACTTGTTACTCTATGCCTAGAGGATACTTCTAATTAACATAGACTGATATCTATAGATATGAAGTGGATTCCTTTTTTGATAAGTATAATAAAGTAGGTGATTGTGTAAATAGTTACGGGTTCGGTAGAAAGTTCACCTAACTTGCATTTAAACATAAATATTATTATTCCTAAAATGGTGTTTGATTGAAAGGTAAAGAATACGCTGGTGATGGAAATACATACTCAACAACTAAATTCGGATTAAGAAAAACTCACTTGTGTGTACTGATGATGAACCACTCTTCTTTGCCACAGACAAATTTTGAGATGGCTGGTCTGTGCCACGTTGACTAACCTGACGTGAAAAAATTTTGCCTTTTAGTGGCACTGAGTTTAATCGAGTATCACAAGACGTATCAGAAAAGCGTTTTTTACTGCTGTTCACATTGGCTACAAGTGGTCTATATCTGGCTACCATACCAGGCTGAGATTGCACTCGGCCTACAACACAGAATGATACAAAAACATTGGAGGCAAGTCAAGTGCTGAATATCAACGATAATCTAACTTCTAATGTCTCTATTTTTGCAACAAAACTTACGATACATCAGGACTGATGTTCTGTCAGATTTCCGCATCTTCAGGAAAGCAAATAACTGGACATTTTAATTACAGCATGAATCATGCGAAACTAATTGACAACCTTTTATTTTGGAGTGATTTTGGGTATTATGTGTTTAATTTAATTATGTTTTGAATAAACCACGGCAGTCGTAGTACTAACAAGTACCAACAGGTATACACTATTACAAATTTTAGTCAACTCAATAGATTAATATATCATGACAGTAAAATAGTCCAGAAACTTGCCTTTCTAACAACCAGAGTCCGAAGGAATGAGATCTCAACGAAACCACACTGCAAGTTAGGCGTGCGATCAATAGATCGGTCCGCACCATTAACATTCAATAGAAACGACAGCAAACACACGTGTACATGTCCGTCATTCAAATATCCAATATTGATCAAGTAGCCAATTACAGAGTAATTGAGCGATCAATAGATTAGCGGTCAGCCTGTCTAAATTCATCACCAGATTTAAATTCCACACACTGACACAAATTAAGTGGCTATTATTTAAGGCACATACATTGGGCCAATCAAAATTCAGTAATGGCGTGTAGTGAGCCCGTGTGTCTAGTTCACACTCCTTGAGATCGTGTAACCCAATAGTTGATGTAGTTGTCTGGGCTTTTCTGTCATTGAATCTCGTGGTTGTGTATATTAACTGCTATTGTTGAGACACGTCAATGACCATTGCAGTAATTGGGATGCATGGCTATATAGGATTTCCGCTAGCTGTCGAGTGAAGACATAATCCAATCACGCGACTGGTGAGAAGCCATGCTGCACGTCTGAATTTATTTATTTTTCTCAACCTGGATGAAATCACCAACGGATTTACCGTAAATTAGTTGTTTCTGTATCAACATTCGCGTGGTACTAAATCATCCAGCCTTTTGCAGCTGGCAGGGTATCTGGGGCAGGTGGTTTACACATCACAGAGATAGCGATTGCAAACCAGTTATACGGAAGCTGTCGGAAAATAAGTAATTGAGTTAAGGCATTTTAGGGTACTTGTTTTCGGCGTGTCAATCAAATTTCAGTTTCTGAAATCACATTTTTAGTAGTCCAGGATATTTTTGAGACTTGTCTTCAACTGAACACTAATTGCCCTGGAAAATTCGAGGAATTCAAAGTCGGACGAGGTGTTTATGACGTGAACCCAGGACGCTTTCAAGAAATAAAATGAGTTTGTATAAACATCGTGTATACTAGGATTGTGACGTAATAACTTTGTTAACTGATTCCATTGGGTGTCGTCTAATCTTCAGGACATGATCTAACTGGCGGGTTACTTATCAAACAGAGAATCTGCTTGTAACTTTGAGTACCAGTTTTTTGAGATTAATCTGTTTGATGAATACAATCCAGACCAAATAACCTTTCATCCATAAAAAGTTACTAATTATGCTATTATATTGCGTAATCGGATAAGATAACTTGCCATAGGATTTTTTAAAACACGGATTTACAGATCTCCAGTTAGTTATCAACAACTTAGAGCCTACCATATATGCGCATCAACTCAAATTGCAACAACATAGCGACATGAAATTGTCAAGAGCAATACCAAAGCAGTAGAAGTAGTTGTAATATCAGTGGTGGTAAAGAGGATTGGGTTCGATCATATGAGCAGAAAATAATTGGTTTGTGGAATAAAGAGTAAAAACAATTCCGAAGCTTAAGATTTGAGCCAAGACAAAGGCTGAATGCGCTTGTCTCACTGTAAATGATTTTTAGTTATGTCACCCAACGTCCCCAAGTAGTGATTTCGGTTATCAAACGGATATCAGCTAGGTAATCCGCACCTTCGTACACGATTTAGAAAAGTCAGAAACTTAGTGAACTGATGACACGTCGTGGTTTGCCTTCCCCTACCTTTCTTCTAGTCTCCTACACCACAAAACGTCGAGCGTCGGTGTGGGCGGTGGCTAGGCAAATGCAACATATGTCCCAACCAGCTTGCTATTATTACTTAGTGCTCTGCATCTAACCTCAGCATTACTCATTCAATGGTCCCAATATAAACAGGCAGTGTTTCGAGGACACCTATGGTCAAATACTTGTTATCTACGACTATTCTTTGGTTTCAAAGGTCATGTCTCACAGTCATAAGGTAGGACCAAGTGAACTGATGTCAGTATACTCGTTTTTTGGTTTGCAAACGGATATCTCGCCTACGCCACAAATGATCCAAGCTGGCAAAGGTTAGTCGGGTTTCCTGAATTCGTGCCATGATCTCGCCAAACTTCAACCCACTAGAGCTGGTGAGACCTTCAAAATAGGTGAAATGGTCGGTCCGCTCAGCTACTTCACTCCTTATCGTCAGTTTAGGTGTTAATATAAAGTTGTTCTGGTAATAGAAGCGAAATGTATCCTGAAAACGCTTGTATTACGGATCAATGGAATCAAAGGACTGAATTTTGTCAGCATCTCCAGTAAACTGTACTGTGTCTTCTGAGTATTCTACCTTGACATTTGAGTCTCCTAACAGTAGATTATTCCTACAATCAGTGAGATTCAATGAGTTGAACTGGTGATTTAGTGTAAAGGTCAAATAAGCCATACATCGAATGAGAATTTTCTGAGAAACGAAATTCATTCATTTAGGAAGTTCATAAGCAGAGAATATGTCACGGAATTAAGCGTCAACATGATTTCTTCATTGAGTCCAATTAACTTTCTTAACTACTGTTTGTTATATCTGTTATAGATTAGTCACCTTTCGGTAGATAGCAATCAAAATCAAAAACTGAGAATGTGAAAACATTACTAAATATCCATTTTAACGATCAATACCAATTTCCTATTGTATAATAACTTAGATTGTTGCCTAATTGTTATAACTAAAACCACTATATGGATAAAGCTAGAATATATTCTTGAGGAATACTTAGTTATCCTCATCAACGATATTCATTTCTGTTTCGAAATGGAGTTAACTACTTAAAGGATAGAATTATTTACAGTGTCACATCAAATACATTGCGGTTACCATCAAACTGCATCACAAGGCAAGCCTCAACTTAAAATTTTGAAGGTAGAAGGTAAAGAGGAAGATGAATGAACACATTGCGTTGGGAGTTGGAAGCAGATATCAAAAGAATGGATTGCACCTGGAAAGGATTTCTCAGAACAGAGTTGGTTTGAGAATGCTGGTGGGCGGCAAATGCTCCTTCACGAGGAGTAACAGGCGTAAGTAAGTGATCTACATTGGTTGACTTCAATTGTTCGCCTGCATACTAGTTTCTCTTTTGACGGGTTTTCATACCAAAAGTTAGGGAATCGCATTCATACTTGATTTTTCATCTTGAAGCCTTTTCTTTCTTCTGGATATTCTTATTATGCTGTACTTATTATACAACCCATCATTACAGATGCTAAACTCATTATTGCTCTTGAAAGACTATGACAAAGAAAAGATAGCTGCATGTCCCGATATTCCTGTAAAAGTTTGACTTAAAACTACTAGAACGTCCGTGGTGCTTATTTCAGACCAACCGTAGCTTAATTTGAAGTTATACTATTACAATTTACTTAAAATATTTGTTTTCCAAATTATTTGAAACTTATTTTTCTTGGGACGAAATACGACTTTGTTTTTAAATGAAATAAGTAGGAAAGACGGTAAAATGGGTAATTTTGTAATATTTAGTCGTAAATAGACTTTTGTTAGCTTATAAATTTAACGAATAATTCACCTAATTAGTAAGTAAATGGAAATAGAAAAGAACTGAATTATCTGAAGTAATAACTCAGTATGTTCACACATGTAATAATAAAACAATTCTCTAAAGTTAGAAGTACACAAACTGAATGCAAGGAAATGTTGAAAACGAAACTAACATGCAAACCAGTTGGGTTTCACCTTCTCTTATACTTGTCTATGAGTTATTCTGTTATCTTACATTTCGTAATATATTTCTTGTAATAACCTATACAATTTCTAAATAAACTATTTTCCACTCTTTCGGAATTGTCTGACAATTACTTGATTTCCCTTTGAATGTTTTCGTTATTGTGGTTTTTGTGTAGCATTTCTTTGTAAACAAACTTACCAGGGTTAGTTGACCACTTACTTACTTCCTTACGCCTGTTACTCCTCGTGAAGGAACATAGGCCGCTCACCAGCATTCGCCATCCAACCCTGTCCTGGGCAATCCTTTCCAGCTCTCCAGTTGTTATTCATCTTTTTCATGTCTGCTTCTGTTTCCCGACGTAATGTGTTCTTTGGCCTTCCTCTTTTCCGCTTACCTTCAGGATTCCAAGTTAGGGCTTGTCTCGTGATGCAGTTTGATGATTTGCGTAATGTATGTCCTATCCATTTCCATCGTCTTTTCCTAATTTCCTTTTCAGCTGGAAGCTGGTTTGTTCTCTCCCACAAAAGGCTGTTGCTGATGGTATCCAGCCAATGGGTGTTGAGTATCTTGCGTAGACAGCTATTTATAAATACTTGTACGTTCTTGATGGTGGTTGTAGCAGTTCTCCAAGTTTCAGCTCCGTACAGTAGAATTGCCTTGACATTCGTATTGAAGATTCTCACACTGATATTGGTTGAAAGTTGTTTTGAGTTCCATATGTTCTTCAATTGTAGGAATGCGACCCTTGCTTTGCCAATCCTCGCCTTTACGTCTGCATCTGATCCTCCTTGTTCATCGATGATGCTTCCCAGGTATGTGAAGGATTCTACATCTTCCAGGGTTTCGCCAACAAGAGTGATTGGGTTGCTTTTCTCCGTGTTGAATTTGAGGACCTTGGTTTTCCCCCTTGTGTATGTTGAGGCCTACTGATGTAGAGACTGCTGCTACACTGGCTGTCTTTATCTGCATCTGTTTATGTGCATGCGATACTTGGACCAGGTCATCTGCGAAGTCCAAATCGTCTCATTGGTTCTGAGCTGTCCATTGTATGCCGTGTTTTCCCTCAGATGTCGAGGTCTTCATAATCCAGTCGACGACCAGAAGAAGGGAGAGAGTCTGACTGTAGTCCTTATTTGGAATGCATCTGTCAGCTGTCCTCCATGCACGACCTTGCACTGTAATCCGTCGTATGAGTTCCGGATAATGTTGACAATCTTCTCAGGAACTCCGTAGTGTCGAGGACGTTTCCATAAGGTCTTCCTATCTACACTGTCAAATGCCTTTTCATAGTCAATGAAGTTGATGTACAGTGATGAGTTCCACTCAATTGATTGTTCGACGGTGATCCGTAGTGTCGCAATTTGGTCTGTGCACGACCGATCCTTACGGAATCCAGCCTGTCGATCTCGAAGTTGGGCGTCTACTGCGTCTTTCATCCTGTTCAGCAACACTCTGTTAAGACC